CAAAGTGTGCTTTTCCAACTGTGGGACTGGCAACTTCTGATTGCTTTGGCCAGTGCTCTCAACTACCCAGTACTGATTCGGACGTTGAACGAATTACCACTCAGCGCTACGAATAAGGGTATATAAAGAACATGTCCATTGTCCCACCGTTTTGTGGCGCTCGCTTACAACATGTAAAACGTATCGCCGAGTCCGCTCGTACAGTCGTGCACTTTCATGTTACACTCGGGCCTGCCTTAAGTCATATTTGCTGGTGCAGTTGGTTCACCGCGTAATCCTCTCTCGGCGGATAAGAGCATCTCCAGGAATGCATCATTTTTTATTGACTTCGACCAAATTTCTTGGAATTTTGTTACATTAAAGACGTGAGAGAGAGAGATCATTTTTCTGAAAGATCATTTTTCTGTCAATATCAAGGAAATGGTGTTGGGATGGGGAATTGCGGAGCCCTTGGTCGACTTCACTGAGAGCCTAGCAGGCCCTCCTATTCCCTTCGCTCAAATTCTCTGCATTTATTATGTGGAGTGTTTTTCATGGCCCTCCAAATGTTGTTTGAGAGCGTGGCACACCTGAGCGATACACTGATACCGTGCGCGTGGGGCACTTTGACGTAAGCTGAGAGTAACTGAGATTTTTGCAGATCTCATCGAGTAGCAGCAGGAGAAGCCGGGGAATGGAACGTCGAAAACGGAGATCTTCTGTTTGGGATTACCTGAACAAACTCACCGAGAGTCCTGATCAGGCTCAGCGCTGCTCCGAATTCTACAATAGCCTGCGCGCCTTCTACAAAAAACGATGGTATGCGCCCATTATCTTGCAAGATGATTATCTCTCTGCCAACCCTTCCCTGTCTAATTCTGGAATTGCAGCTCTCAGGCCATCCTCCAACTAACTAGCTGTATTTTGCGGTTTCTGAAAATAGCTTGCATCCTCTGAGCATATTTCAAGGAACACGCAGGGCCGTGCTGGTTGCTGCGAGCCTTTCCAGTGATTGTACAGCATCCCGCTGCATTCTTTGAATTCCAAAACGCTTGAAGTTTTGAGCGACTGCTTTAGTTTTTATGCGTTTTTGCAGATATGCAATGCAGAAAACGCATATTAACGAGAGGTTGTCTGTGTGTGTCTGTGCGTCTGTGTGTCTGTGTGTGTCTGTGCGTCTGTGTGTTCGTCTGTACCGATTTTTCATCTCGAGACCGGCAAAAGCTCCGGGGCTGAAAATTTGGGGGCATAATCTACATGCACTTACGGGCCCCATCCCTGAAATTGGCGT